AGCAAAAAGAAAAAAGCTGGAAGTGGCGCTGTGGCTCAAGTGGTAGAGCACTAGCCTTGAGCTGAAGAGCTGAGGGACAGTGCTCAGGCCCAGAGTTCAGGCCCTGCGACCGGACCCAAAAAAACAAAAAACAAATCAATATTTCATTCTCACTTATAAAGTGCTGACAGATTTTAACCAGTTTTATGTTTTGCTCCATCAGCTTTACAATTCCTATCTTTAGTCTATCCAAATGCTTGTTATCATTGATATTGAATTAGAGTTGAAAATAGCACAGTTATATTAGGTAGGGTGTATTTAAGCCAACTCATAAATTCATTGATGTTATTTGCCTGTATTTTCTTTACTCATCCTTTACTTGAGTCAGTTTTCCAACTTCAATTCCTGATATTTCAAATTTTACATATCTTTTCAACTTCCTATCTATAGTCCTCTTTTGTAAGTAGGAAAATGAATTCCTTTGCCTTCCTTCCTTTTTGCTGACAGAATTTTTATCTACCTATCTGCACTTTGCTTTAAAGTTATTTTTTTTTTAGCAATTTAATCTTTTTGGAGACTTAAGTGCATGAACAGTTTCTGTTTTGTTTTTTGTTTGTGGGTTTTTTTGTTCTTTTAATATTCTAAACATCATTTATGCAGAATGTTCTTCATAAATACTTGCTAAAATTTTGAAATAGTTTCCCTAGGATATTTTCTCAAAATCACATGAGACCTTTTTTTGGGAAAAGCAAGAGGAGAAGAGTAATTTGACAGGTTATCTTTTCTTCACAATCACACTGTAATCACACATTCTCTTTGCTTCCTGCCTGCTGTGATTTTTATTATTGTGTTTTCTCTGGATTTCCTTCTTGTGTTATCTGCTTGTGTATTGTTTAAATGCATTCCATTTTTTTATTCTCTACTTTCTTTTCCTTCTTGTAACGGAATTATATTTACCCCATGTTGCACCCCATAGTAACTTCTGAATGTCTTCATTTATGTCAGTATTTCATCATTTGTTATCAGTGATAGTAT